TTTCACTTAAGATAATGGCCTTCAGTTCTATCCATGTTGCTGCAAAAGACATGATTTCATTCTTTTTTATAGCTGAGTAGTATTTATTGTGTGTGTGTATGTTTATATATATAAAGGTCCGAATTATTATTGCTGCAAAGGCTTTTTCTTCTGTGAAGAGACAGGGTTTAACTGAAATACATTCAGGTGATCAGGCTGTGCTGACTATGACAGTATCATCCTGTTCACAGTTCCTAGGCAACTTGATACTTGCTCTTCTTTGCTAATCTCCCAAGGTCAGATGGCCATAAACAGAACTTTAGGAACTCTTTTCTATGCCATTAAAGGGCTCAAGGTGTGACACCATTCATTTTGGGCTTGTTTTATAAGTGCCTGTGGCAGAAACGGAGAAATAGCTTCCATTGCAGATTCATGAGTAGAAATATTAGCTAATCACAGACTTCACTCCATTTTAGAGGGGAAATGATATTTTTATAGCAGAATTTACAAATTTGGGCATTCATGAAGGTCTCGTTATATGTCCTTTGCAAATGTCAAGGGTCTCCTGATTCTAGAAATTATGTTTATATATCTGTCTTTACTGCTAAACTTGCACTTGCACTGCCCAGTACTGTAGCCATTAACCCTACGTATCTATTGAGTACTTAATGTGGCTACTCTGAATTAAGATTACTCAGAGTGTAAAATATACACCATATTTCAGACTTGGTGCAAATATATGAATGTTAACTATATCATTAGTAATATTTATATTTATGACATGAAATAATATTTTGGATATACTAGGTTAAATAAAATAATTACTAAAATTCATTTTACTTTTTTAATATGGCTATATCATTTAAAATTACATGTGTAGCTCATAGCATATTTCTATTGGACAGAGCCAATCTAGACTATAAGTTCCTGGAAGCCAGGGACAGTGCCTGGCATATATTCATTAGATGCTCAATGCTTGTTTGATAAACCAAACTATTGAACTGAAAGGAATGGATGAGGATTATAATGGTGTTTTTAAAGCAGTGATTTTGACGCTGTGGATTTGGAAAGTGATAGAGCAAGATGAGATGGATTATGTCAGGAAATCTTAAGATGTTTATTAATTGTCATTGGTGTGTGGATTTGGAACCTAAATAAAAAGAGATGTGAGCACCGGCTGCAGCTGCTTTCTCATGAGATGTGCAGATATGCCCTATAGAGTTGGCCTGATTTTGGACTCCATAATTCCTTTGCTTTAGTGCCATATAATAAAGCAGTTTGTTCAAGAAATAACCATTTCCAGAAATGATTTTTCTTGTATGCTATTTTGCTGTGCAATTCTCAGACTTTAATGTGTTTAAGAATCACTTGCAAAGCCTGTTATAAATACAGGTTCCCAGAACCATTCCCAGACATTCTAGTTCAGTGGGTAAGGGATGGGGTCTAGGATTCTGCATGTTAATACCCCGGAAGATTCCAATGCAAATGGCCTGTAAACAGTACCTTGAGGAACATTAGCCATATGGTATCATAATCTCGGAATAGCATGGAAGTCTAGGTAGAGGGGCAGTTTGCTGAGCAACTTTTCTTTCAATTATACCATAAACTTAAGTTTTTAGGTATTTTAATAATCCAAAATTAATCAAAAAGTCACAGCAGGCCGGGCGCAGTGGCTCACGCCTGTAATCCCAGCACTCTGGGAAGCCGAGGGGGGCGGATTGTTTGAGCTCAGGAGTTCGAGACCAGCCTGAGCAAGAGCGAGACCCCATCTATACTAAAAATAGAAAGAAATTAATCAGACAACTAAAAATAGAAAAAATTAGCCGGGCACAGTGGCGCATTCCTGTAGTCCCAGCTATCTGGGAGGCTGAGGTAGGAGGATCACTTGAGCCCA